TGGCCATCAGATCATGGGATCTTTGATACTTGCATTTTTTTAAAATTTTTTTAGTTTTAGGTGGACACAATATATTTATTTTTTATTTTTATGTGGTGTTGAGGATCGAACCCAGCGCCCCACGCATGCCAGGAGAGCACGCTACCGCTTGAGTCACATCCCCAGCCCTGATACTTGCATTTTTAACAAACTGCTCCAGTTGAAAATCTCTACCAGTCTTTCCCAGGCAAATCTTGCCCCATATTCATGGCCTCACCTCCCAAGAGGTTTGGTTTGCATAGCTAGAGCTTTAGCTGGGCCATTCCTGGGCCTTATGCTTCATAACTATGTCCCACAAGTATCTCAGACTTGTTCTGACCCCAGATTTTCTCTTCTACCCCAGGCTTATCCCTCCTTTCACCTTTTTTTTGGTAAATGGCACTACCACTGCCTGCAGGACAGAGTTCATATTGCTACCAACCTCCACTAAGCCCAGTATTACCTTCCTCTGAGCAGCTCACAATGTCTGGAGCAGCCAGAACAGTTTGAAGTTTTCAGACACTCCATACCCTTTACAGTGCCTCCCCCATGTGGGAAGGCCCTGTGCCTGGCTCCTGGAAGAACAATATCTACTATTTTCTCACATCCCACTTGCCAGCCTAGTAATATTAAACTAGTCATGTATCCTTTCTGTACCTTAGTTTCCTTATCCTTAAAGTGGGGATAATAATTAGCTCCTCCCTCATTAGAATTCTTGTCAATATTAAAGATTAAAAAAAATTGTAAGAGCTTAACACATCACCCTATATATTGTGAGTGCTCAATGTAGAATGAAGAGTTCTCTCCTAAGCAAGCAGAAGCCTTCCTGTTCCTCGCCTTTGCTGTATCAATCATTCCTCCTTATGCCTTCACATTGTTCTGTTTGAAGTCAACACTTATTTCATCACCTGTCATTTTCTCCTCAAATGTCTGAGAATCCTTTGAGGGCAAGAACCATTTGTAATTCTTTGTGTACTCCCAGTGTCTACATTGGTATTTGTTATGGTTGGATCCCAAATGTCTCCCAACTTGGTCTTCAGCCTACAGCACCTTTGGAATATGATAAATCCTTTAAGAGGTGGGGCCTAGTTTCAGAAAGTTAGATAATTGGGAGTGTGCCCTTGAAGGGGATATTGGGACCCTCAGTCCCTTCCTGTGTCTCTTTCTTTGCATCTCAGCTGCCATGAGATGAGCAATCTCCTCTGCCATGCTCTCCCACCATGATTGCTGCTTTGCTATAAGCCCAAAGGCAACAGGACTAGGCAATCATGGATTGAAGCCTCTGAAACTATGAGCCAAAATAAAACTTTCCTTTTTTTAAGTTGTTTTTCTCAGGTATTTCTTGGCCAACATGGTACTTAACCCACAAGGGGTGTTTACTAAAGGCTGGTTGGTGTAGTGTATAACCTCAGTGAGTTAACCAACTGGGCACTGCCTAGATTTGACTCCAGGCTCTCTACCATAACTCTGTGTGACTCTGTGCAAGTTAACCTGTCATCTTCAGTTTCCTCATCCATAAAATGGGGATGGTCATGCTAACATGTAACTCAGATGACTGTAATAAACTTAGAATTGAATAATCAAGGTGGAGCAGTAAGCTCAAAAGCTCAGCAAATGTTGATTGTGCCAAGAGTGAGAGTTGTAGCTATGACTGGCTGACACTATGGACTTATGGCATAAAAACTGAGAATAATAACCACTGTGGAAAATAAAGGACAGTTTATTTATCTACAATATAGTCTTCAGAAATCTCTTCTGATGGTAGTGAAAGATCCATTACCAGAACATAGGCTGAGCTGGGCAGTATTTGGAGTTTTTCCAAAAATATATATTTTTTTTAAATTTCCCCAGTGTTTTTAGCAGGCCTTCAAAGAACTGTTACAGAAGTGTTTCCTTAACAAACTCCCTTTTATTTAAAAAAAAAAAAAATTAACAAATGTGGGTTCAGTGTTCTTTTTACGTTTTCTGAGTTTGTGACTGACTTCACTACTGTATGTGGAATGAGGGGGTAAAACCTGCCCCCAAAAGGAAGGCACATAAATAAAGAGTGGGGGACACTCCTGTGATGAACTTTTTGGAGTTGTTCAAGTTGGTTTTAAAAATAAGTCAAGCTGGGTGGTTGGCCTGGGCCACAGTCTCAACTACTCCCTAGACTGAGGCAGGTGGATCACTTGAGCCAGGAGTTCCAGGAGAGCTTGGGCAACATAATGAAACACCATATCAATAAAGTGGGTGGGTGGGGGGTGGGGAGCAAACAAACAGATTTTGCTTCTGCCCTTAGCTCTTCAGTATTAGTGAGGATGCACCTCCTAGAGGAGGGGTGGTTTCTCAGAATCTGACCTCTCACAGCAGCTGGTTTTCTGCTGTACTGAGGCTCACACCTAGCCACGAGATTCAGGTGGTCTGGGTGGGGTTCCTCAACCCCCCACCCTGTAACTGATGAGCTGTCCCATTGCCCGAAGTTTGCAAAATAAGCCCGAGTGAGCCTTGTCTTAGTTCTGAGGGCTCCCTAGGAGAAAGGTCTAGGTAGGAACTGGCCCCTTCTCTGGTGGCAGAGCCAGTGTGGCTTGTCCATGGCCAGCTTTTTGTGCCGCGAGAGCTGACTTTGGCTTGGCTCATAGCACTGGATGGGGCAGCCGTCCCTTTTCAGGAGCCCAAAAACACATACTGAACCCATCGGTCCGCGGGACCATTTTCCCATTTGATCCAAGCACAGGGCAAGAAACCACATGGAGAATAGCCACTCTGGCGCTTTCTTGCAGTTGAACCATAATGGTGTCATTTGTTTATCGCAAGCTTCTGTTCCAATCCTTTTCAAGCAAGCAGGAAGCCAAAGGACTTCTGCCTCAGTAGCTCTAGCCTGGGGCTCTCTCCACATCCAGGATGTGATTGGAGGGGGAAAGCCACCTTACAGGTTAGGGAGCTCAACTGCTAAAGCTGTTTTTCGCCTGATTTTAATGTGAAAGTAGTACATTGTCTGCTTCTCAAGAAAAAAAGGCAGTTAACCTCTCTGCTACAGCAATCAGAGCCAATCCAGGGCTCCTTGGCAAGCTGGGGCTCTAGTAAAAGGTGGCCTGCGCAGTTTCTCCCTGCCAGGACCCCCGGCAGTGCAGGAAAGCTTCTGTCTGCTCTGCCCCAGTGGGGTGGCTTTGAGACCCTCTCACAAGAGATCTACCCCAGCCCCCATAACTGCGTGATGGGGTGGGGTCGGATGAGCTACCCCTAGCGGAGATGCCATGGCTTCATCAGCCAGAAACTTAAGTTTTCCTTCTCCTAGATAAGAGGGAGGATAGGGCGCAGTTGCAGGCTCATCCTTGAACAGAAGGTCTTTGCCCAGGGCTGACGGGGCACCTGGAACGTAGAGCTAAGGAGAGGCCACAGTCCCCCAGACTCAGCGAGCGCAGGAGCCGCAGAGCTGTGGGACTGCCTCCGGCTGCGCCGCTAGGAGGGCCTGTGAGGATGCGCAGTGTGGTCACCGCCCCATCCCTCACTCCTGCACCTGTAGGACATGCCAGGTGAGTAGTTTCCGGAAGGTGGTGTAATTGAAAACCAGGACCCCGCTGAGTGTTCCAAGTTGGGGAGTGGGGGCAGGGCGGACCCTTTCCAAAGACTTGATGAGTCCATTTGAGACTAAGAGTAGCTCCTGGGAGTTGGCAGGGGACGTGGAGAGGGTTGTACTGTGCTTTGCAGAAGAGTCCTGGGAGAGTGTGAGTAAAGCTGTAGACCTTTGCCACCTTTCCCAGAATGCATTTTACCCGCCATAGCCAGATGCGAACTCACCCCAACCCAAAGGCCTGAATCTTTGGCTTTGTAAATGTTTAGTTGTACTCAGAGCCTACCAGGAACACTGACCCAGGAGATCTTGAATTGAGGGCTTCCCCAGGCTAGTCTTTGTAGAACAGGTCTTTGACTTGGTAACCTGGAGTTTGAAATGTACCACGAGCTATTCTTTGCTTGTGAAAATACAATTTAATTTCCCTGTGGGTGCTTTTGATTAGTGGGAGCTGTGAAATGGCACGCTGCTTTCCAGAACAGTTCTGGGTAGTTGTTCAACTCTAAATTTAACCCGAAGCCAACATTGTCATGGCTGTAGGAAGCTGTCTGTGGACAGATGAGGATAATGGTTTAAATGAATTAGCAAGTTGGGAGAGGAGAGCCCATCAGCAGAATGACAAATTTAGGATTTTTAAAGACATCTGGTCAGCAATGCTGGAACTTGTGATTGACTGAGTGATTAATAATGGAAAACCCTTAGTTCAGTGTTTCCATCATTCCTCACCCTCTTCCCCAGCGAGGGCCAGCAGTCTGCTTAGCTTGCCAGAGAGGGTTCCAGCTGAACAATGGAGCATTTGGGCTCCTCATCTTTGGCCTTTGCTTGTGAGTTTAAGGCTTTTAGTTTTTCTTTTACTTACCCATCTTGTATCTGATTCTAACTGACAACATATTGACAAGGTTCCCAGTTCCCTTGCATATGTGCTGCTAGCCAGAGCCTCAACTCAGGGTCACTCTTGACTTCTAGTTCATAGTTCACTATCAGGAGCTTCCCTGAGATACACACTATTATTGCTTCAATGTCCTCCAGAGCCCCATGTGTTGAAGGCATGGTCCCTAGCCCATAGCTCTCTTAAGAAGTGGGGTCTAGTTGGAATAAGTTAGGAAATTGGGAGTGTGCCCATAAAGGGAATATTGGGACCCTAGCTTCTTTTCTCTTTCTTTTAATTTCTGGCCTCCATGATGAGGGCTTTTTCTGCCACACATTTCCACCATATTGTGCTACAATCATAAACTGAAACCTCTGAAAGTGAGCAAATTAAAACATTTTCTTCTTCTAAGTTGATTATTTCAAGTATTTTGTTACAGCAACAGAAAGCTGACTAAAACACAGAGTAAGAGAGCCCTAAAGTGTACCATTGTCCCTTCTGATCTCCCAAGCACCCTCTTTTCAGAACCCATCTCTAATTCTGTGGTGGCTTTTTTTCCAGGCTCCAGCAGCTGGATAAGCATAGCCAGGCCACAGCCCAGCAGCTGGTGCAGCTGCTCAACAAGCAGAACCAGCTTCTCCTGGAGAGACAGAGCTTGTCAGAAGAGGTGGACTGGCTGAGATCCCAGGTACTCGGCAGACCCCAGCCCTAGGGCAGCCTGCCCACCACAGAACATACAGGGGTATGATAGGGAGAACATGCACATGGGTCTCTTACTTGTTTCTTTTTCCAGGGCTGTACCTTAATAGGCTTAAATTCCCACTAGTCACCTTGGTCAGCTCATAAGCTAAGAGGGAGCTCCTGAAGATTGTGCTGAGCACAGCAGGGCGGCGAGGAGTGTAAGCTGAGGCCTGTCCCCAAGCAGATCCAGGTCCATGAATCTCCCAGCCACACTGAGTGCTGAGTCCTACAAAACAGGGAGTACTACCAGGGTGCCAGAGGAGGGAGAAAGGAAGACTGCATTGGTAGAGCAGGCCTCTTGGACGAGGGTGGCCTTGATCTGCCCCTAAAGGATTAAAACGCTTGAACTGGTTGAGAAAAGACATGTTCCCAATGCAGAAGGTATGTTGTCCTAAATTAGCCTGAGGATAATTGGGCTAGGATTTTGAGTGCCTGAAAAGCACCTGGTAGTCTTACACATTGAATATGCACTCTCTCTTTACCCTTCAACAAACCAGGAAGATTGACATTATTGGTCTCCATTTTTTAGATATGGGAAATGAGACTCAAGCAAATGTATACAGCTAGCAAGTAGGGATACAGCAAATGGAACCTAAGTTCTGACTCCACACCTAGGCTTTCCCTATCAGGTTAGATAATGGAGGCAAAAGAATTCAGGTGAATTTGGAGTAGGGAATGAAACCTCTTTTCATCTAAATTGCTTCTTTTCCTGCCAGAGAGGTTCTGCTTTTTGCCCCATCAAGCAATTTTTAGGACAGGAGTTGGTCTATGGGCTGTCAGTGGCCTCTGCCTTTAATTAGGATTGCACCCAGGTGCTCCATAAATGCCCAGGGGACTTTGTGAAGCAAGTGGTTAGAATGATTAATGGAAGAAAGCATCTGGAAATGAAAAATGATGAGGAATTGTCTCTCATTCACTTTTCAAAATGTCTGTGTGCTGAAGGGTTATAAGGAAACTGTAAATACAGATTTCCCACTCAAATCCCCCCACACAGTGTTTATTTATGCACAAAGAGTAAGTAAGCCAGTCACCACGCTAAGGCTGCAGGTATAAACTCACCTCTACAGTCCTCTGGGCTGCTGAGGTCACTCACAGGGAAGGAAGAATTGACGTCTGAGCCACACGCTACACCACCACAATTGTCTGGGATGCGTGCAACAAATGAAAGGAACCCACATTCATTCCAGGGCTGCAGCTGACACATACCTGGGCAGCGTGTCTAGGATTGGGACCTAGGAACCTGCATTAAAGCTGTTGGAGTAATTCTGAGGGCCACTAAAGTCTGAGAATCTCCAGGATGTTTGGAGCTAGGACAGATGATTCTAGATTGTGGCACTGTTTAAGGGCCTGGCCGAGTTACTTGTCTCATGGGCCTTACTTTCCCCATCTGCACTGTGGGAATTAGGAAAAAGATACTGGAGTATTAAGTGAGTGTCACTGTAGGGTGCTCAGTGGGACCTTAGGTACTTAGTGGGCTGAAGGAATGTCAGGGTTTTCCTTTCTTTTTTCTTTGAGATAGATAGGGTCTCACTAAGTTTCCCAGACTGGCCTCAAGCTTGCTATACTTCTGCCTCAGCCTCCCTAGTAGCTGAGTTTACAGATATGCATTACCCCAACTAGTAGGATTTTTCTGTCTCATCTCCCTGCATCTTGAGAAGGTCCTGGGAGATGACTAAGGGGACATAAGCATAAGGAAGGCAGAAACCCTGTGGAGCCAGTACTGACAGGACCAACTTCACTCCTCTCTGCTCTGTTTCTCATTTGTGCTAGTGCCAAGTCCCTCATCCTTCATCCAGGCCAGAACCCAACTTGGTGGACAGGTCCTGAGGGAGGACCTGGCAATGCCAGCTTTGTGCCTGGCATCAAGGACACTGGGGCTACTGGATTTCTAGGCTCCTGTCATACATGATGGAAGGACCATGACTTATGGTGTGAGTGAATCAAGAACTATTTCAGAACTCAGATTGTGGGGAGTCTTCTATGGAGGCTCAGAGTACCAGTACTTTCCTCTTCAGCTCATCATTACAATATGAGCTTCACCTTTTAACTCCCCATTGCCTACTTTATAGCACACTTACGTCTTAGCATGCTTTTAAAAGCTGGTAAATAGTAAATGAATTGCAAAAATTGCACAAAATGCATTAAAAAACAAAACAACAACAAACAAACAAACAAACAAAAAACCCAAACTGCAAAATATCCCCAGAAAAACTAGCAGGTCTTTCTTCCCTTGCTTGGAGAAGCAGCAGTGGTTTGCCTGTCCAGTACTATCTGATGCTGCCTCATTTGGCTCATCTCCAAAAGGGCCTTGCAGGTGAAAGTATTACACGTGGAGTTATTTTAAGATGAATGTGACAAAAGAAATTTGATAGCAGAAATGTTGATTTTCAGTAGCAGATACCTAGTAGTGATCAAAGAGGAGGGCTGGGTCCAGTTTTGCAAGCTTTCTGCCGAGTTTCTAAACTTGGAAACTGCTCTTTACATCCAGGTGTTGCAGTGGCCTCTACACGGGGGCTGTCAGTGCCCTGGACACTGTGTTTTGTTTTTTCCATAGAAAAAACTTGAATTTTGAGTTAAGTTCCAAATGAGCCTTTTGAGATAATAGGGCTGCTCTTTGACCCTGTACAGATATTTCAGAGGAAGGTGCCTTCTTGGGGTCTGGAGCAATCAGCACACTGTTTTCCTGGAGAGAGTCCTCTAGACCCAATGCTTGGGCATCTGATGTCCACAGCTGCCTTCATCTCCGGTTTGGGGATGGTTTAGCTAAAGGCTTCCATTTTCTCAACACTGGATGAATTAAGCATAATAGCTTAATTTTGTGTGTCAAACTCTAAAAATCTCTCTTCAGTTAATACCCAATAGAGAATGGATATTTTCTGGCCTGGGCAGCTGCTCTGAAGCTGAGTCATGTCCCCCATTAGCTCTTACGTCCTGAGCCTGCTGCCCTGAGCAGAGGATCGATGGTGGGGCTCAGGCTTGGCCTGTGGCCTCCGACAGGAAATGTCTAGCTTGTTTAGAAGGCTTGATTATTCTGAATGGCTTCTGCTTAAATTCTGAAACATGCAAAATGACATGTCTGGGGCTGGGGCTATAGCTCAGTTGGTAGAGTGCTTGCTTTGCATGCACAAGGCCCTGGGTTCAATCCCCAGCACCACATGTACACACACACACCACCACCACCACCAACAACAACAACAAAAACCCCATATGTCTGGTGGAAGGAGCTAGTCATAGCTGTAACTGTCACAATGACACTTTGGCCATATTATCCCATGGTACAGTGTGCAGTGAGGCAGCGTGCACTGCGCAGAGCCCAGGGCTCGGACCTCCCAGCCTAGGCTGGTTTTTAACTTTCTGTTCTTAGTTCAGGACTAAGACCAATGGCTTTATTAATCTTCTGCCTCACAATGAGGAAAAGAACTTCTAGAAAATGGCTTTTAAAAGATCATGAAATGGCCAGGTATGGTGGCATGCACCTGTAATCTCAGCAACGAGAGGCTGAGGCAGGAGGATTAGAAGTTTCAGGGCCAGCCTGGGCAACTTAATGAGACCCTGTCTCAACATGAAAAGATAAAAAGAGCTAAGGATATAACTAAGTGGCAGAGCACTCCTGAGCTCAATCCCCAGTATCAAAAAAAAAAAACAAAAAAAAAAACACAAAATGGCTATATTCGTGTAGAAAGACACGTTAAAGCACTAATCTAACTTCACCCAACAGTGATTCCTCTTTTTCTCAGTTACAGCACAGTCTCGTCTCTGGGCAGATACTCTGCCTGTCTTGTGATGGAGGGCTAGGCTGGACGCTAACACTTCCTGTCTTGGGAGGCAGGCCCTGGCTGGGGGAGGCTGGAACCTCTGGAGTGGTGGCAGGGGATGACATCTGGGGTAAGGGACATGGGGCCCCAGGGGGCATTGGACATGACCTGACAGCTTGGAGCTGGGACAGGGTCTGCAGCCCAGAGCCTAGGGGTTTTAACATCTGTCCAGGAAGGGTGAAGCCAGCTGGTGAGAATGTAAGTCTGTCTGGGGGAGAATGGCATCTGTGAGAGGAAGATGAACAGAAATTATCTGTCCACTGAGAGGATTATCTTAAACATGGAGATGAGTTTATGTGTTTATGTATTTATTTGGTAATGACTCTTTCAGCTGACTGGTGTGTTCGGGTAGCTGTTGCCCTGGACAGGCTGTTTGGTTTGGTGCTCAGTGTTCAATCTGGGGAGGGGATTCCCTTTTAGTCCCTTACTATGAATCACTTACAGTTTAGAAAACAGAGTAGGAAACTGACTTGTCAGTGGTTCATCAGTTGGCCCTATGACTTTTAAAGCATTCTTGGCAGTGAATTTACTTTCTAATTTGACTTAAACTTGTGCATGGATCCAGCAGCCATATGTGATTATATTCAAGATCATTGACATCCTCTCATTGCACCAAAGGACTCGTCGGATAGAGCTGAAACACAAGCAGGAGAAGCAGACAGATTCTGAGAAGGGGAGGAGAGGTCTATTTGTGACCGGAAGCAAGAGGAGGAAGGACTCTGGAGATTGGGCAGCCTGGGTGAGGGTGAGCCAGGTTTGGGTCTGGCTGAGAAAGGACACATGCAAGACCCGGGCAGTGTAGGCGTCCCAAGTGGAACCTGGATGTGGCCACCTAGTTGGTACTTCCTAGAGTCCAAGGGCTTTGCTCAGCTGACTTAAGGCTCCCATATAGTTAGCTACCTGCAGGACAGATGGTGCTTAAATAGAACAGCAAATACACTGAATAAAATAAATTACAAAGCCTTTTCCTGAACCAAGATTTTTTGGAAAGAATTCTAAATAGATGAAAACAAACAATTTGATTTCAACCAAATTGTTGTTTTTTTGTTTTTATCCTGATTTTCACCCGAATTGTCAGTCTCAAAAATAAACACTGATACATTCCCAGAAAATATTTTTCAAATAAAAACTGACTCTGTTAAAGTTTGCCCTGATTCTTTCAAAACTGTGTACAAGACACTGTCAACCAAAGTGACTTGCATATTTTTTTAAATAAACTTGAACATATGCAGCTAAAATGTCATTAACTCCCTGCTGCCTGAGTGTTTTTAAAGAGTGACATAAGACCCCGGTTGCTACATTTCTAACCTGAGGGTCTTGTGACCCTTGAAGAAACTTCCCCAAGAGTGACAGTTTAACTTTGTCTTCTCCACTGAGCATAAATCACACTGAAATGCACACAGGTTTTCATTTAAGTCAGGCTTGCTCTTCTGTTAACAGTTCACTTTGTCCAAGAGTGAATCCTTTCAGAATAATAATCATGGAAGAAAAATAAGTTAAATTTTATGTTGCTTCAGATGCATTTGCTCCACTTATTGCTTCCTGAGTCAGACATTACATTTTGCAATATAAATTCACAATCAAGATTTTAAAGGGAGCTAAATATTTTAATCCAATTAGACAAGTGAACAAAACACTGAATATTACATGTAGTGTAGATAAGTGGTTCTTGCCTTTAAAAGACTGTAATTCCGTCACATTACAACCCCAAATGTCAATGTTGTCTTCATTTTTAACGCTTTCAAACATGAGGCAGCCAGAGGCTCCACTCTCTGCTGTTGGTGACACTGTCTGTCCTCTGGGAATTCTTAAAATCTATTTACCATGGAAACATGGTTCACATAAAACACAAACACCTGCCTGTGCTCAGAGAAAGTGCTCCTGACTTACAGGACTCAAGAGAGCTGGAAGATGACAAACTCAGATCCCACACACTGTGGAAGTGTGCTCTGGAAGGGGACGACACAGTGGATGCCAGGCCCCAACGCTGACCCCTTCTGTGTATGCACAGGCATCCCTGGCCTGTGTGGGGTTGCCTCCCTGTCATACCACAAGTCCCAAGTCCATCCCAAGATGCTATTTTATAGAAAGTGCTGCCCTGTCTGCAAGACAGTCTTTCCTGCATCTGCCTTTTGATTGCTCTGGAACCTACAGTTTGGTGCCTTTCTTGGAGACCCACCATCAAGGGGAAACAGGTCTTGAGCTCTGGCTGCTGCCACATGGCTGTGAGGGAAGGGTGGATGCAGGCCCCTGCTAACCTTGCTGTGAACCCCTGCCCTGTTTTGCAGCCAGCAATAGCTAGATTCCCAGAAAGGCTCTGCAGAGCCCAGCTAGGAGGCGTGGACCTCTTAGCAAGTGCTAGGATTATTTGTGCTATGGAGGCTGAACTGCAGGGACCTGGGAGCCCAGTGCCACTGGGTTGGTAAAGCAGTGAGCCATCCTGCTATAAAGCATTGCATTTCCTCTAAATTCTGCAGAGTACGGGTGAGGACCCTTTTCTCTCCGACAAATGGATGGCACCCAGTGCTCACATGTCTGGCTGATGCCAGGTGGCCCTCCAAATTGGCCCTTCTTAATTCCATAAACAGCAGAGTGGTTGTTCTGCTGTTCCTCCACTAATCTGCATGGCGGGAGAGCCCAGTAGTAGAGTCTGGACTTGGAGGTCATAGTCCTGGATTCAAAGGCGTATGTTCTGCACCACTTCAGGAAAACAAATTGTTTAGCTTCCATGTCACTTGATTCTGGCAAAAAAAAAAAAAAAAAAAAAAACCAAAAAACTCAGCTTCCCTTTTAGAGGGAGGTTTGATGTTACTCAGTTTAGAGCAGATGACCATGACAACAACAGGATTAGTAGGCTTAAAGGGGCCTTTTGAGACAAATCATTTTAATATCCTTTTTGTACAAATAGAAGAGTAAAGGCCACAGAGATGGAGTGAATGGGACTGGGACTGGGAAATGAAAGGATAGGGAAAGGAACCTCTGAACTTCTTAAGTGACCTGGGCCACAGGATGAATGGCCCAAGTTGGGTGTCCCAAAGGGTAAGGAGGGGAGGACTAGAGCCCAGAGCAGCAGCAGGACCCAAGCCCCAGCCCTTGGCCACATAGAGGCAGGAGCTGCAGCTGCCCTGGGGCTGTCAGTTGAGGGCAAGCTTAGAAATGCCCAGAAGGAGCTCTAGTTAAAAACAGATGGCTAGGGGCTGGGGGTTGTAGCTCATGTGAGGTACTAGGTTCAGTCTTTGGCACCACATAAAAATGAATAAGATAAAGGTATTTGTCCATCTCCAACTAGAAATCCTAAAAAAATAAAAATAAAAACCAATGCTTAATTTCCAGAGGCATAGGGAACAGGCCCATTTTGACCTGGTCACACAGAGTGTACAAACAATAGAGTGCAAAGCAGGGAGCAAGAAGTTGTGGGGTGCAGGGATGTTGCCTTTGGAGGGGCTGCTGAAAGGCTGTGGCAGAGAAGCCCAGAGAAGAGATTCAAGTGGCAGCCTAGGGAAGACTGAGCGCAGTGTGCTTCCTTAAGCACCTCCCTGGCTGCCACCACTGCCCTTTCAGGCCAGCTTGGAAATAAAGCAACAGAAAAGGCTGGGGTGGGGGGTACCCCGTAGCATGGTTGCCTGGGGATCAATTCAAATCGCTCAGAGCAACCCACTTTTTAAACTCTAAAGTCAAACTTAAGAAATAAATTAGGCAGGAAGTCAGGCTGTTGTGTGGAGAGGAAGCTCTGAGGATTTAAAATGAGAAGAGATGCGAATGAATGGGTTAGCAGTGGTGGGCCTGCAGACAAGCGCTTCTGTTGCCTGCAGGCAGTATTTCAGAGAGCAGCTGCCAAGGCCCTGGTGCTCACCTCTGATACAGAGGCAGCCACAGACCCCTGCAGATGTGGCCTCACAGCCTGGAGGGGCACAGCAAGAGCCTTGATGGCAAGCTACAAGGCAGGAGGACAGGAAGACAGTGGCTGGGGGCTTAAGCCACAGTTCTGACTGGCTCAAGTCCTACAGGCACACACACCTGTCTAGGGGACAGTGAGACCCTAATCACATGGTGTGGACAGTAGAACCAGCTCTGGAAACATGCATTACTAGCACCCTCAGAAAGGGTGGCAGAGAAGCTGGTTGTGGGAGGAACTCCTGCCTCAGCCGGCACCAGACAAGTGGAGGATGAGGGGGAACACTGAAAAAAAGTGTCACAGAGGATTCAGCAAACAGGATGATACAGAGTGCTGCCTTCAGCGGATAAAACAGTGACATGACAAGGTGAATTATTCACTCAGCAAATACAAACTAGAGGGCTTATTAGGGGTCCAGCCCACTGTAGGCACTTCCTGTGAACAGGAAGTGCTATAATGTGAAAGTGAGTCTGAATATGGGGCTTCCCACCAAACCAGATGAAATGTAAAACATGATGACAGGGACAGCCGGTTTGCTCCAGGGGGAGAAGTTCAGGTCGATGTCCGCGTGCTCCTGTTGAGGACCTCACATCTGTTGCCTTTTGCAGCCATGGCAGGCAGCAGGCAGCCACCGGTTTCAACAGAGCAGTCTGAGTGGCTTCAGGGGAAAGATCAGCTGATGATGAATTACTAGGTGCGCCTGGAGCCCACGGGCATTACGAAGGCTTGTTATGAGAAGTGATGCCAGTTTCCTGGGGCTTAGTTGAAAAAAAATAAAATAAAATTCTACAACAATTTTACTTCTACTTCAGGTTTTTACCATGTTCTGTATTGGGTGTATGGGGTGAAGTGTGCTTTGTACCCAGTTAATTCATATTTTTCTTTTCAAATATGCCGGTGGGTTATGTTTATCCTAGTTTTAAAGTCATTGTAGAATTTGTAAAGTTAGGAAATAAGCCACTGTGTGGAGGTATCCAAGCCACCAGGCACTGCCTTCCTTGGCCAAGCCACAAAGCAGGGAGGGTCATTCAAGCCCCACTGGAAGGAAATCAGCTCTAGGTAGAGGCACTGGCTGGCTATGGTCAGATGGAGTCTGTGGCAGGCTGTGTGCTGCCAAGAAAAGAAGGGAGCCCCTCTGCAATGGCAGGGTTTGGGGCACGGTAGACTCCTGGTGGCCCCCTCAGCAGAAGGGCTCAGGAAGCCTAAGAGGACCCGCCCACCACCCATCCCCCTAACTTGGCGTGTGCATCAATCATAACACCAGCTCACTTTGGTGGGCAGAGGGAGGCCTCCTTCTGTGCCATACCTGCAAATCCTGTGCAGCCTGTCTGCACATGGGCCTCTGCCCTGTGTGGAGATCCTCCTACTCATTAAAAGTCATCATCAGCATCTCATACATTGCGAAATCTATGTGAAATGTAAAAACAACCTTTCTTGCTTTTTTAAAAAAGGCAAGATGTGAGTTTCTTATATTTCCCTTGGGTAAATTCTGATTTTGATCTCACTGTCCCAACTTGGAGATCCCCAACACTTAATCATGATTGACAGAGATATCCCTTGAGTTCTGGACATGCTGGTCCACTTCTGTTTCTTTGAGATGTTCCCCAGTTACAGAGACCAGGCTGGGCCCCTGGCCCTGCACTGCATTACCATGCACCTTTTGAAGTGTAAATTGGGATTTGGAAAACACCTGGACTTCACACTCCTGGAGGCAGGACTGTGTTGTTACCTCACCACTTAGGGCACAGTGGAGACTCAAGGTTGTTTTGTTCAAGGTAACCATTTAGTGCTTTCTGACGCTATTTCTTGGTATGGTTTAAACTAATGTTAACAGCCATATCATATCAGCAGAGGCAGGTGACAGTACTAACTTTGTGGTTCTCCTTCTAACCCAATTTACATGAAGTGGTTTTGAAATGTTTAATGCCCTTGTTTAAAACCAAGAGACCACAATACCCCAGATTCCCTTTTCCAGCATGTGGGAGGTTTCCATGCAAAAATGCTTCTATACATTGCAATAAACTGCATCTAAAAATGGAAGGATTCAGCTTGTACTGCTTCAAGAATTTCTTAGGGGCTCTTGGTTCACACTGTTTTTCATCCTTTGTCCACTGTAATGTGAGATCAATTTTAGCACAAATATACCCAGAGAGGGAGAGAGATGGCTTTTCTGGACATGTCCTAACATCAGATATCCTTATTCGGAGGCACAATGTTCTGTAGTAAAGGTGGCTTTTAGATTGAAAACATTAAAATAAAATTGTTAAAACTTATACTCATATGCAACAAGGGATTTGATCTGTGGTCAGGATGAGATGGAAAGGTTTCATCAACTGGTTATATATAACTTTC